TCTTGGGGCATTTTTGGGGTATTTTTATTTTTCGTCAAAGCTCCCCCTGTAGGGGGACACGCCCGACATAAGAGTAATCCTGGCGAGTGTCCTGCGCGCCTCGAGAGACCCTCGACTGCGGCGAGGCGCGGCCCCCCGAGGCAGCTTCGCGGGGGCGCGCAGACTGCTGCGCTGCGCCCGTAATTAGGCGCACGGCGGACCCCGTGCCTCTCCGCCTGCGGCGCGGGAGCTGCGAAATTCACTTGGCATCGCTCGGAGGTGTGCATTTTTTTTTTTAATCGGCAGGGGCCCTCGAGGAGCCTTTTTTGATCACGCTGGGGAAAAAAATTACACGCACGAAACCGACAAATGCACGGGGAACAGACGCCCAAGCGATGGCGCCGTCAAGCTTCTGGCCCCGGGGCTCCGTCGAGCCTCGCGCGAGCGCCGCGCACGCCCGGCGCAGCTCGCGAAGCATTCTGGCGGAAGACCCGCACATGTCCCGAGGTTTAGGGGAACAAAAAGTGACATAAACATAGAAATTCGGAGGTCCGCGCGGATTTCTCGGATCGGCGCTGGGGCCCCCCGGCGGCGCCTCCGTCGCCGCCCCTGGCGCGCTCCGCGCGCCAGGGAGGGGGCCCCAGCGCCGATCCGAGAAATCCGCGCGGACATCCGAGTTTCTATGTTTATGTCACTTTTGGTTCCTCTAAGGTTAGGTCTGCCTGGGGTCACGCATGTTCGGGGCATGTCTTTGGGCGCGTATGTCAGGATTGCCCGGTGTTGAGCGTGGCGGGTTGAAATGTACATCGGGCGTCTTGGGGTAAGTATGTCCTGGCGGGCGCACTGGGCGTCTCGGTGGCCTCGGGCGTCTAGGGTTGGCATTTCATTATCAGGGGGGGGGGGTATGCGCGCGAATGTTTGCCCAAGAGACATCCGCGAGGCATCCAAGAGGTCTCCAAGATACGCCCCATCCGTGAGGCTTCCAAAATCCATCCAGGAGGCCTCAGTGCAACGTCCCGCGGGCACGCGCCGCGCGCACTTGTTTCTTCCATCGTAATTTTGGCTGCAGGGGTTCCAGAGGGGCGGCAGGGTCCTGCAGTTGGTACTACGCATTGTACTTCGCAGTGCAGAAGGCAAGCGCTGCTGTCATGGCGCGCGCCGGAGGATGGGGGCCAGCCGCAACGGTGACGCATGCGGTCAGGCTCAAGACAGTCTAAACATCCAAATGGCCACCGTTTCAGACACTCGCATCCAGCGGATCGGCAACTTGGATCAAACCAGGGGGCTCCTTAGCGTCGGGGCGGCACGCCGAGAGCGCCATCTCGCACGCTCAACGACCGCTGATCAAGGTTGGGGGACAGGGCGCAAGATTGGGGCATCAGGGGCCTCGTGTCGGCCGTGTTTCCAGGATTATCAAGCGTTGATACGCGTCGAGCATGCGGCGCGATGCGCTCCAGGTGCCGGCCCAGCTTGACGCGGCGACGCACTTGCGCTCGTCTTGAGGGCCCAAGACGGTTCCAACGCTGCCCATGGGGCCGCCAAGACGGCCCAGGGGTTCGCGGCGAGATACGCGTGGACAGCTCGCGAGATACACTGCAAGATGGCCGCGCGAGATGCCCGAGACAACTGGGACTTCTGCGCGAGACGCCCGCGGGATGCCGTTGATGTGCCCGACCACGGCGCCCGCTGGACACCCTCGTGATGCGTTCGGCCCATCAATGAGATGACCCCGAGATGCTCGCGAGATACCTGGGGCACCTGAGATTTCTTCGCGAGGCGCCTGCGAGATGCCCTGCGAGGCTCCCGGCTGGCATGCCCGCGGGACTCCCTCGAGATGCCCTCGATGGACCCCTCGTGCACTTACGAGGCGCCCTCGGGATGCCCGCGAGATGCCCGGGGCGCCTGAGACGCGCGCGCGAGATGCCCCGCGAGATGCCCCCGATATACGTACCCAAGATATACCCTCGAGGTGCTCTCGAGAATCCTGCGGGATACCCCTTTCGACGTGCGTCGTGCATGTTCGCGCGACTGGTGCGATGACGGATGCGACCACGGAGATGGGCGCGTCGATGATGGAGATGGTGGGCGTACAGTCGGGGCGCTGAAGAAGGAACCCTTTTCGCTGGGGAGGGGCTCGGTGTTCCTTGATTGTTTTGCAGTTTGCCTTGGGTTTTCCTCCGGTTTCCCATGGGAAATCGAAGTGAAACTTATGGGAAGCAGGGGCCTCGTTCCTTATTTAGGGTTCCTTAGGTCAACGCCCCGACTGTATTGTGGGGTTTGCGGGTCTGCATGTGCTGGCTGGCGGGCGGGGGCGACGTCCGCTGCGACGGCGCAGGGGAGCCCGGGCGTGCCTCAGAGGTCCCCGTGGTAGCCCCGTAGGAATCCCGAGAGAGAGTTCCAAGCACGCCTTCGTCTTTGTCCTCCTCGTCCTTGTCGTCGCCCCCCTCCTCCTGCCCCTCCTAAGTCCGCGTCTGCCTCGTCCTCGCGAGCTGCCATGGAACCGGTTGCGAACAAGCGATGACGAGATGAGCGCGCGCTACGAAACGTTGTGACAAGTTGTGAAAGTTACCCCCGAGTTGATTTTCATGAACATGTTTGAAATCGCGCTGGAACGGTTTGTACAGTTGCAAACACTTTGAGCCATTATAAACAAGCTCGGCAGGCATGCGTCACTGGCGTGCGACGTACACACTTGGTTGCAATGCACGCAAATCTGCTCATGTGTACAAGTTCCACCCCAAACTCAGCCAAGCGGGTTTTGGCTCGAGGGGGGCTCCAAGGCGCAAGGATTTGTCCAGAGCCACCAGCACGAGGGTCGATTTTCGAGGAGCTCAGCAAGCGGCGGATATGGATTCGTTCGGGCAGGGAGCGACGAACCGTGTCCTGCGATCACGACGACGACGTCGGAAACGACCACCACCCATGTCTACAACCATACCTACATTTAGACCTACACAGGCACCTAGACCGAAGCCCACAAAAACACAGACATTGGGACGTACACTCAGGTCCACACTAAGACCTACAATGCGAATTATAATACGTACTTGCAATAATACGCACGCTCGTTTCTACAGTGATACCCGGAAACATGAGACAAACACCTACAGTAAGACCTACATTAAGACCTACATTCAGACAGTTTGGCAGGCTTGCACTAAGACTTACAGTAAGACTTACTGTATGGCGGACACGAATTCCTACCTGCACCAAAACCTACACTTCTTCGGAGGGGCGGCAAAGCGTGTCCCACGGTCACCACGACAACGTCTGAAACGACGACGAAGCGTGTCCTTACTGGCGAGCGACGTCCACGTTCAATGCCCCGCCCGCCCGCCCGCTCGCGGGGCAACCTCTCGGAGACGACGCGCCCAACGCGCGCATCGGGCCCCGCGGGCGCGCGGACCCCTCCCCCCCGTTTCAATACGCCCGTCGCGCGGAGTGCGCCCCGTGGGGATATCTGGTCAAAATCTTTACTTGGTTCTTAGTTGGTTCGTATTTTTTTTTGACTTGTCACACGTGTCAGATCTGCCAGCGTTGCCCCATAACTTTGCACGCCTGGTCATAACGATTTTAAACCTGTTTCGCTGTGCGCATAGCTGCTCATACCTTTCAGATTTTCATGGTTGGGCTACGTTTGAATGCGAAATGATTTGATCCTTTTTTGAATCTTAGACATACACGTAAGCTGATTGCACCGAGTGTGGTTATATTGTTTGCCAGGCTTTGTGTGCTCTCAAGGTTAAGTTTCATAAAATCTCGAACTACTTCTATTACGCGTAGTAAACACTTGGCCTGTTCAGAACCACAGTTGGGCAACTTATATTCACACGTGGCTGGCCCATTACTTATTTATCACCAACTTGTTCACAGGCTAAATCAGAATTCTGCAAGGCCCCCCCCCCAGATCAGCCGACCCGGGCTCCATTGAACTAAAGGTTGGGTGCTCGTTATGGGTATCTACCTGGGGCTCGTCTAATGGATATGCTCGGCTTTGGCTTGGCCCCAGTTCTATTCCAGCCCAGTTTAAGCCTTACGCAGTTTCCACCAAAGCCGACGGACGTTCGACGCAGCATCGACGCACGAGCGGGGCGAGTGGTCCCACGACGTTCCGCAGGACGAGCCCCTGACACATATCTGGCCGACCTGCCAGCCAGGCCCTCGCTTGGCATGCCGCCCTCTCTTGCGCTGGAACGGGCCTGGCCGCCCGCGTCGGGCCCGGGACTCGGCCGTGGACCTGGTCGGATCTCGAGGGGGGGGGTGCTCCTGCAGTGCGGTGGGGGTGTTCGCTAAGGGATGTGCCCGGGAGGCTTCAGACTCGGACCCTGGAGGATTCCTTACCTTATCGGGGCGGCGTGGATAGTCGTGGCCGGGCCACGCATCGAGTTCCCCATCCAGCGCTCCCACCGCAGGCGCATCGATGGAGGAATCCGCCTTCCAGCGGCGACTCGTGTGCCTCGAGCTCTCTTGTGTAGCAAGATTCCTTGCCGTACGTGCCTGCTGCACCCTGGCAGCCGGGGTCGGAGGAGCGCGCCGCCTCGCCGCTGGTCATCGGCGGCGCGGCTCGGCCGGGAGCCCGATCCTCTCCGCCCCACCGAGACACCGACGCACCGCCGATCCCGCGCGGCCCTGCGACTCCATCCGCGCCGGTCCCGTTTCCGAAGCGGCAGTGGGCGGTAAGAGTCGTTGATGGGTGCCGTGCGGTGCCACGTGCGATGGGTGGTAATCGGCGGTGATAGGCGGCACTGGTCGGTCATGGTCGTGAAGAGATGGTAATGCGGTGCCAAGGTGAGGTCGTAGGGCTCCATGGTTTCGAGCCGTTGGATCCGGGCAGGACAAGGACCAATCGCTCCAGAGCGTTCTGGAACGCCTTCGGAGTGTGCCGGAGCGCTCTGGATTGACCGCGGCGCCCGATCCATCGCCCGGAGCCGCCAGATCTCAGATGTCCCCAATTCGTCCCGGTCCGATGTTGTCTCCGTATTGGTTTCGTCTGACGATCATGGTGGGCTCCGCGTTCTGAGGTGAAGATCCGCGACAACATCACGCTCGTGCCCGTGAGGTCGTACCGGAAGTTCAAGGCGTGGGGAAACCAACAGGTACTGATACCGCTGCCCCCCGGACCTCTCTCGGGGTGCGTTCTGACCAGGATGTCGAGGCGACTCCAGCGGTGGCGACGAGGGCTTCCCAGGAGGCCCACAAATGGGAAGGGGGGCGAGGGGGGAGAGGTATGGGTACCCTCTCCTCCTCCCATCAGGCGGGGCCCCTCTCCGTGGACTTCCCGCACTTCCTCTTCGACCTCGCCAGGGAGGACGCCTCCGAGCAGGACGCCTCCGCGCGGCGGGTGGGTGAGGATGTGTGCGGTTGAGGCGCTGGCGCAAGAGCCGCTGGGGGCTCGGGGGGGGGGGGGCTCGGATCTTCGGGCCGTTCCCGGGGGCTTCTGCCGTGGAGCCTGAGTCTGGCTGATAGGCTGAAGTCGGGCCTGCCTCTCGATAGGGGGAGTCTGCAGAGATAGTGAAGACATAGTCTGGGGACGATTTCTCCTGTATGCTGTTTGCTTTTTTGTGGGGCAGATTTTTTTTTTTTTCTTTTAATATTCGTCCAAACTTTGCTTTTCGGGTGGGCTGCATGTCAGAAGAACTTGGTGTTCTGTCGACATGTACGGTATACTTGTGGCGCTTTGCGTCGAACCATGCACTGTGGTGTGCCAGTATTGTTTGTGCTTCTTGGGGGGCATCTTTCTACTATTTTTCAGTCCTTCGTCCAAAATCCGCCTGTGGGAGGACGCGCTCGTCCACGGCGCACCTTTTCCTGTGCAAGCTCCTCGGCACCGCCTGCACCCCGGGCCCCGCCCTCTCCGGCCGCCTGAGGCCCCGCCCGCCTGTGCCTCCTCCTTCTCCTCCTCCTCATCCTCCTCATCCTCATCCTCATCCTCATCCTCATCCTCATCCTCCTCCTCCTCCTCCTCCTCCTCCTCCTCCTCATCATCATCATCATCATCATCATCATCATCATCATCATCATCATAATCATCATCATCATCCCCAATTAGAGCTGTGCGTAGCCCGCATAGCTTTTAGCGGAAGCGGTTCGCTCTCGCCCCGCCGAACCAACAAAAACTGCAGGAGGACGCGCGCGACCAGAAAAGCCCGGCCTGGGCCCGCCGTGGCCGGGACACGCCCTTCGCTCCTGCCCGTGCGCTCCCTCTGGCAGCACGGCGGCTGCACGGCGGCGGCTGCACGGCGGCGGAGCGCCGAGGGGCGGAGGGTGCGATGGGGGGCCGCGGCTCTCAGAGGGCGGCGGGGCTGCCCTCCTCCTCCTCCTCCTCCTCCTCCTCCCCCTCCTCCTCCTCCTCCTCCCCCCCTTCCTCCTCCCCCCTTCTCCTCCCCCTCCTCCTCCTCCTCCGCTCCCTCCATCCTCCTCCTCCCTTCCTTCTCCTCCTCCCTCCTCCTCCCCCCCACCTCCTCCCTCCTCCTCCTCCCCCCCTCCTGCTTCTCCTCCTCCCCCCCCTTCTCCTCCTCCTCCTCCTCCCCCCTCTCCTCTCCTCCTCCTCCTCCTCCTCCTCCTCCTCCTTCCCTCCTCCTCCTCCTCCTCGTCCTCATCTCCTCCTCCTCCTTCTCCTCCTCCTCCTACTCGGCACGCCCACCCACGGCGTGCGGGCGCGGCGACGGCGGCGCCGCGGCTGCTCAGAAGCCCCCCCTCCCCCCCGGCCCTCCGAGGAGCCGGCTCTGCTTTTCGGGGACGGCGCAGAGGGAGCGTCTCTCAGAAGGCTGGAGGCCGTTGAGCCTTCAAGCAGTGGCGAAGCGTCCTAGCTCGCCTGTAGCCCTACCAGACAATGTTCTAATAACCATTTTAAATGGTTCTTAGAACATTGTCTTTCTTACAGACAATGTTCTCAGAACCATTCTGAGGTCGGCCGCTGGCGGCAGTCTGGCGTTTCCCTCGGTGATGCGCGATGCGTCGCTGCTTCACCTTCCTTCTGCTCCCCTCTCCCTTCCCCTGGCCTGCCTTGTCCTGTGCATTTGTAATTGTACGCGTGCATGCGTCGGGCACTCCCGCTGCGCGGATTCGTGTTACTCAGCGAGCTTCCAGCGCCAGCCGGTTCGAGCCGCCTTCTTTGATTACCCGTCACAGCTTTGTTTGTTTGTCTTCCCTGCCTTCCTCCTCTTCCTCTCTCTCGCTCTCTCTGTCTCCTCTTGCTCCCCTTATTTCGGCATTGCACTGTTTCACTGGCTGCGCTGAGTGGGGTCGCGCACGTCTCTCGGCTTCTCCTCCCTCCTTCTGCGTCGCCTTCTGTGGCCAGTGCTTTATTCTTCTGGCAGGGGCCAGACTTTAAAGCCGTCGGCGTGTGGGTGAGCCGAATGTTGGCGGCTGAGCTACCCTCGCTCCCTCCTTGGCCCCCTCTGCTCCGCCTTCGCGCACCTCCTCCCCCCGCCTCGCCTGGTGCCGTGGCTTTCAGCTGCAGTCTGCATCTCGGTGCAGCGCGCGGTGTCGAGCAATCCCGACGCCCTCCATCCGCTCCTCCGTCTGACGCTGCGGCGCAGTGTGGCTGCAGTGGCGTGCAGTTCTCGCAGGTGGAGGCATCATGTTGGTGGCTCGTCCGGTGGGGTTAACAAAAAACAATGTTCTAAAAACCTTTTGTGGCCTCCACGAAATGTCCTTAGACCATTTCTGGTTGAGGCTGTTTTTTTTCACATCGGGTTTATGTTTTAAGAACAGTGCTTCGTTCTTAGAAAATTGTTGGGTTCTATGAACATTTCGTGGTAGGACCATAGGAATGCCGGGACGGTCGGTCCCTGCTCAACAGGCTGGAGGCCGTTGAGCCTTCCGAGCCTTCCCCTCTGGGCGCGCCCGAGCGAGCAGGAGTCATCCTCAGGCTGCATTTGAAGGTCTCTGGGGCTCTTGGGGCGTCGCGGCAGCCGCTTCGACACGTTTCGAGCCATCTTGGGCCCTCGCGTGGCCAGCTTTGGCCGTCTTGGACGTGTCTTGGGCCCTTTGGGGGCCATCTTGGCCGCATTGGAGGTGTCTTTGAGGAGCCTTCGAGGCCCTCTTGGGCCATCCTGGCCGTCTTGGAGGGGGCCATCTTCGGTGGGAAAGGTGATGAAACGCAGCCCCCCGCACGGGTCTCTGTGATGGCCGGCGGGTTGAGCCGCCGAGACCACAATGGGAAGCAAGTTGCTGGAACGGCCTAACGTTAAGTCCGGCCCGTCTTTCTACAGGAGGCAAATTCAAAAGTAATTCCAAAAATAGTCTGGGGACAATGTTTTAAAGTATTTTCGACCATTTGGGAGTATTTTGGGGGTATCTTTTATTTTTCGTCGACAATCCCCCTGTAGGGGGACACGTCCAACTTAAGCCTAATTAGCGGGAAAGTGGCGACTTGGCACGCCGCGCCCCCCTCCTGCAAGCATCAGGGGGTGGCGGATTCGGTGGACTCCGCCCCAACCCGCTGCCTTTTTGAGGGCCAGGAGTCTTTTAGCTGTCTCCCGGGGCCTCTTGGGGCGCCTGTTGGGAGGCCTCTTGGCTGCTTGTTTGGGCCCCCATCAGGATTCTCCCGGGGGCCTACTGGGAGCCTCTTGGGGGCCTCTGGGTCGTCTCTCGGGCGCCTCTTGGGGGCGCGGAGCCTCTCTGACGCCTCTCTGAGCCTCTTGTGACCCTTGTGGCGGTCTCGGAAGCCATCTTGGCACAAGATGGCTCGTTGGGCCAGACTGTGCTCCCCCTCCTGGAGCAGAATAGAACCTTTTGACAGCATGATGCGTTCTTGTAGTATGTGTGGCTCCTCGGAAAAAAAAAACACGCGGCCCAGCCCGGGAGCGCCCAAGAGCGCTCTGCCCTGAAGTCCGGGGGCCCCCCCGTCCCCGAAAGAGAACCCGCAGGGCGCAGAGCATAGAGCTCCGATGGGGCCCGAGAACACTCGCCTCGGTGCCTCGTGGCACGGTGGCGGACATGTAGGCAGGATGAGACGGAGGATGCCTAGGACGAGCACGGCAAGGGTGAGGAGCACGAGTAAGACTGAAAGTCGGACCGTGTCCACCCATTCGACATCACTGGGGCCCCCTACTGGCCCGCCTGGCCTGCCCGGCGCCACTGGGAGGCTGAGGCCAACCCCGACCGCAAGCTCGTTCGAGGTGCACGCAGCGGGCGGGAGTGGCCCTCTCGGTGCAACTCCTTGCCCGGCCCCCAGAGCTGCTCTGCAAGGAGGAGGAGGAGGAGGAGGAGGAGGAGGAGGAGGAAGAGGAGTTGGAGCTGGAGTTGGAGGAGGAGGAGTTGGAGGAGGAGCAGGAGGAGGAGGAAACGGAGGAGGAGGATGAGGAGGAGGAAACGGAGGAGGAGGAGGAGGAGGAGGAGGAGGAGGAGGAGGAGGCGCCCCGCCAGAGGACATCTGGGCCGTGGTCGGCCAGCGCCGCGACGTGCCGAAGCTCCTGGCCGAGAAGGCCGCCTACGAGCGCCGCGAGGAGGCCGCGTCCAAGGAGAGCCGCTCCCACGACCGCGAGAGCCTCTTCGCGGCCACGCCGCAGGCGACGCCCGCGCACGGGGCGCTGGCGCTGACCGAGGCGGCCTCCCCGACCTCCCGCCCGCTCTCCGCGGCGGGCGCGGCGGGCGCGCTCCTCTCGCCGTCCTCTCGCCGCGCCCCTCCCCCTCCCGTGCGTGCACCTGCCCCCCCCCCTCCCTTCCCGTTCCGCCATCAGCTCCCCCCCCCCCCTTCCGCCCCTCTGCCGTCTGGCCGGTCGGCCGTCCTCTTCCCCTTCCCCTCCCCCCCCCCCTCTCTCCTGCCTTTGTCTCACCCTCCGCTCCCCCCTCTGTTTCTGCATGCCCATCCGACCCGTTTTCTAGCATGGCTCCACCCCTTGTCTATTGTGGTTGTTCAGATGAGCACCACCATCGTCTCTCCTTGCATTCTGCCCGAGTGGGGCCACTGTGTGCTCCATGCTGCTCACCAGACGAATCGGATTCAAGACGTTCGGGCCGTTCGGGTTTCATATGCGGTTGCTCGATCGGGTGGTTTTGTTATGTCTCGAAGGGGTGCTCCCGCTGCAGCGTCGCTGGCCTCATCTCAGGATCGGTGCTGTGCTCCCGTCGGTCAGACTGGCGCTCTCGCCACAGCGCGAGCCACACTTCCGGATCCGAGTCCTTCGTCGTTGTCGCCCCCCTCCTGTCCCATCCCCCGCCTTCACCTCGTCCTCCTGCTCCTCCCGCTCCTTCTACTTCTGCTCCTGCTGCTGCTGCTGCTGCTGCTGCTGCTGCTGCTGCTGCTGCTGCTGGATGTTTCTTCTCCACCGTTTTCCTCATCCGTCTCGTCCTCCTGTTCATCCCCCTGCTCACCCACAGCCTCCTCTCCCAATGCACGCACCTCCCGTGTCGTATTGCGAATCGCACGTTGGGGTCACTTTGGGGGTTCCAGGTCCGCCCAAGAGGAAACAACGACATACACCTAAACTTTCGACGCTCCGCGCGCATTTCTCGGACCCGCGCTGGGCCTCCCCGGCGGCGCCTCCGGGGAGGGGGGTCCAGCGCAGATCCAAGAAATCCGCCCGGAACGCCAACATGTTGTGCTCATGCCGCTCCCTCTGCTTCTAAAAGAGCAACAAACAACAATGGGAAGGAATGGGTGGGAGGGGTCCGGTGTCAGGTGCGCGAGCGCCCCCATCTAGCCCCCCTCCCTCCCCCGTTCCCCCTTCGCTCGTGCCGTCGGCCTCTCCCAGTGCCCCTCGCCCGAGGATCGCGGACGAGGAGGAGGGGGAGGCGGAGCATCAGCAGGAGCAGAAGCGGGAGCTGGAGGTGCAGAAGGAGGATGACCAGAATGTAGGAGGAGAGCAGGAGGAGGACGAGGAGGAGGAGGAGGAGGAGGAGGAGGAGGAGGAG